CCGTGTGGGTGGAAGGTTCGCTCAGACAGAGAAGGGGAGGAGCAACCAAAGGCCCAGTTCCACTTTCCCATTGCAGTAAGTAAGCAAAGGAGCCATTAAATGAGAAAATGTATGTGAAGGCACTTAGCACAGTGTTTGCCAAATGCACGGGATTCGATAATATTGACTTGTTCATTTTACGTTCACTCAGTGACAGGACCTATAAGGCAGATTTGTGTGCAGAAAGGATAATAGGGGTACCCGTAAGGGTAGGGAGCATTCTCTACCTGGAGGGGCTGATCAATTTTGCCATTAGATGTTTCTTCCTTTGACTCTATAGAAACTCATCCATCAGAGGCAAAAAAAAAAAAATCTTCAGATATTTTCGTTTTACTATTAAAGCTTATCATACTCAACCTCCAGCCCTACCCTTGACAGTAGTGGAGATAACATAAATGCATTAAACACCAGAGATGGGGGTGGTACAAATTTCTAGTGAAGTTGAAACAAAAACTGGTCAATCTAAGTGATACCCACACCTACATATACATGTGCAGATACATAGACATACACAGAAAAGAAAACAAAAAGTAAAAAAAAATAAAATTAAAAATGGGCTGGGGTTGAGGTCAGTGGTAGAGTTTACCTAACGGTCAGGAGGCCTCAGGCTCAATCTGCAATACTGAAAAAGGAGTTTGCTGTGTGTGAGCTAGAGTAAGCCTAGCTTCCCAACAGAGATGCAAGCAAATAAGGCAGATAAGGAGATGCTCAGCCATCTCACCTTGGTGCTATGGGGGTTCCATGCTTAGATGGTTATGAGTGGGAGAATGGGAGAAGAGTACATCTGCTGATGGCTTAGTGAGACACGGTGAAGGAGGCCAACGGCTGATACAAATCTTGGGCTCGGCTCCAGAGAAAGCGCTCTACATGGACAGCCTCTAACTCTACCCTCTACTTCTCAGAACAACCAGAAACCTTTGTTTAACCAAAAATAAACTAAATGCAGAACAAAACAAACCTGGAATTTGTCAACACCAGTCACCTGAGCCTCTCACGAGGCTTCATAAAGCTATTGGATTAATATAAGCTCTTGACAGCAAACTAAGCATGGCATGTGCTTGTATTTGCTCAACACTATCCCACATATACTTCGTCTTCATGCTTAGCAGTTCCCTGAGATGTGTAGTAATCTTTAATACTTGCCTTTACAGAGATGGAACTGTACTGCAATAGAGGTTGCTCAGATTAGTAAGAACGAAGAAGAAGAAGAAGGAGAAGGAGGAGAAGGAGAAGGAGAAGAAGAAGAAGAAGAAGAAGAAGAAGAAGAAGAAGAAGAAGAAGAAGAAGAAGAAGAACAACAACAACAACAACAACAACAACAACAACAACAAGAAAATAAATTGTTTTTGAGATAGGGACTCACTCTGTAGTCCAGGAAGGCCTAGAATTTACTGTGTAGCCAAGGCTAGCCTCAAATTACATCATTCTCTTGCCTCTGTGTCATGAATGCTGCAGCTATGGGTGTGTGTCACCATACCCAACTAAACTGACAAGAAAAATAATGTTTTATTAAATTCCATATTCAATAAAGTAAATATATATATATATATATGTATATATATATATATATATATAT